GACAGAACCCTTGGGGGTAGTCAATAGCTGTGCTATCACAAAGTCATAAGTCATCGTGACCGAGGGCTTGAGTGTGCTGGCCTTATTCAAATTGTTGATCACATTAGATAACACACTCTTTCCCAGAAACTGTAACTAAGGTCTGCTCAGCACAGTTGCAGTATAAACCACAGGTGGGCTCTGTGGGTGTTGAATGAGCAAGCTTCTGCAATAGGGATTGGCTAGCCGCCCTAGTAGATAGGTATCCTTGAATACAAGGGGCCAGCTATATATATATATATATATATAATTGTGTATTTGGACAGCAATCCCTCTTTTATACAAGTTTCATTTAAAGACAACTGACAAGGTACTGCAATGAAAGATTTTTTAAAATTTTTCTTGTGTTTTCTTTTCTGGGTATACAGTGTTTAAAAATTATCGAAATGTTCAGCATATCTGAGTGCTTTTGGTTATTCTTTTAGTCATATTAAGAATTACTTTTATTTTTCACTGAATGCATAGATTTTTATGTATGTATCTAGAGTTACAGGAATGTTTTGTTTTTTGTTGGGGGTGTTTTTTGGTTTTTCTTTTCCAAACATGGTCAGCACATTGTGGCCATGTTCATAGTTAAGGATATTGATAAATTTAAGGGACTTAGCTGGTTAACAGGCTCAAGTGTTTCATGTTTAAATGCTCACCAAGACCAGATGTTTGATAAATTATTATTTTGAATTTATCAAATATCTGACCCTGATGAATGTTTTGATGCAAAACTCTTGAGTTGGCTAACTGGATAAATCACTTGGACTTTTCTTAATATATAGAATATTATAATTGTAGTTATCTATTGAGCACTTTTTGGTAGTTTTGCTAGTCTGAAAACAAAGTGAAATTTTCATTTTCAAATATTTTCTCTGTAAAGATAATATTAATAAAAGAAAAGACAAGAAGAAAATATTTTATACCAGTGTTTCATTCCTTGAGGAACTTTATCAAGGCAAATGTAGAAATTTTACTTAATAATCTGTATTTATACACAAGTAACATAGAGAAAAATGTCATTAGTTTTTTTTTTAAATTTTGAATTAGAGAATTTTTTAAAATATTTGTGAATATTGCAGCAGAGAACTATGGAGAATGCTAAGTGATATGTTTTTTGGCATATAAATCAGAAGTAAATTAATGTATTTGTTGCTGTTCTTGACCATTTATTCTAGCATGTTAATTTAAAATTTCTAAGAATTAATGGTTCTTCGCTCAGAAAGAGTATAGATATGTGATCTGATAATAAGTTCAATAGATTTATCGAAAAACCGGCCCTGATGAGCATTTGATGAGCTAACCAGATAAGTCACTTGAACCTTTTTATTGAATACTAGCAGGCTTTGCCTAGTAAGATATATTCATTACTCGAAAACTTTGAAACAGAAATTTTAAATGCCAGCATTCAGAAATTGTCTTGTTATAGTTAAGAAAAGTTTTACAAATAGATGCCAACTTGTTGAAGGCCAAGTAAAATGCAAATTTCAAACACATTTCTGCACTATATAAGACAATATTCCTAAACAGAACTATTTTTTATATGAAAATCAAAATAATTCTTGAATAAAAGAACGGTAATGAAGGACAGTTAATTAATGAAATAAACTTTTTTTAAAATTAGTATGCAAATTATTTAAACCTGAAGAGTGATATTGCCTAGAAGTATAATATAATACAGATATTGAGCTTTTAGTGTGTAAATTACTATAAAGCGTATGAATTCCTCTTTGGAGGGATTTTCAATGCAGGCTTATCATCTCTCAGTTGTGTCTCTGTCTTTGGGCAGAGTGCGCTCAGGGGCATCTCTGTCAAAGGACAAAGGGGCAACTGAGAAAATGAAGAGGTGCCCAGCCCTGGGGAACAGCTGCTCAAGGCTGTGCCCACCCATTGCACCAGAAGGAGGGATCGGTGCTCACACCAAGGCCAGTGCAACCGATGGTTGTAGGGAATTTTTGTCCCTTGCCCAAGTGTACAAGCTTGGGTCCCCACTTTAAAACGATCTTGTGTCACATCTTGTTCTGGTGGGGGAACGAGTAAACACCATAAATTACTATAAAGTAAAGCTGGTTTTTTTTTTAATCTCAGAATTCATGAAAGAATTGAGATTCAATTTCGCATTTATTCATATAGATTCCATAATATAGGTTTTACTTAATTAGCTATTATGTTTCTCTAACACTTCAAATGTTGAATGTATAACTAATTCTAATTTCTATTTTCTCATCTTTACAGTATATTAATTTTATCTTATAAATTGTCACCTGTTCTGTCACCCATGAATTAAAAATAATTAGCTGTTTCCTTATAAGGAAACATTTGACCAAGCAGATAGTGCTAATTGGTTTACACTTTTCTTCACTCCTTGGCTGTTGGGATGGGATCAAAGTGTACTAGCTATTTTCTTCACCTCTAATAGTAATGGTATTGAATAAACCATTCGTGTTCTAATATATTATTATAATGGTTTATTAAGAAATGAACAGCTGCTTGTGACCGTACCTCCCTCTGATTGCACTAAAGAGTGTGGATTGGTAATAATCTCAATGCCAGTGCAACTGACAGTTGTGGTGGCTGGGCTATCTTTGGACCTGGCCTAGGTATATGCTATTGAGCACCCTATATTAAACTGACTTTGTGCCACATCCTACCAGCATGGGATGGCAAGTTAATACTGAGTATAGTATCTGTTGTCTTTATCTCTAATAGTGATAGTATAAGGTTATTTGGAAAATAATGTCAGATTTTTTAATAAACCTTTTGTGTTTTAATATATTATTATTGTAGTTGCACAAAAATATATTTACTCATTCCTAATGATTAATGCATCATCGTTGTATCTTGTATTTCTCTGTATGTATACTGTCTGATGTATTTTCAATTGATGCACCCAAAAAGGTTAGTTTTAATTTATTGATGGTTTGTGGTAATAATAGCCGTTTCCCTACAAGGAAATATGTGGCATTCATTGACCGAGCAGCCAGTGGTATTCTAATTACACATTTCTTCGCTCCCTGGCCATTGGGCTGGGATCAAAGTGTAGTATCTGTTCCCTTCATCACTAAATATAATGGTAATATTAGCCATTTCCCTACAAGAAGAAATTTGGCATTCATTGACCGAGCAGCCAGTGGTATTCTAGTTACACATTTCTTCATTCCCTGGCCATTGGGCTGGGATCAAAGTGTAGTATATGTTCTCTGTTCTCATGGTAATAGTAATATTAGCTATTTCCTTATAAGAAAACATTTGACATTTATTGACTGAGTAGCTAGTACTTCTTTTGGTTGAAATTTGTATCTATAAAAAGAACATATAAACATAAAAATATGTCTTAAAATACTTATCAGACTTTGTCCATTTCATAATGTGTAAAATACACACACACACATATATATATATATATATATATATATATCATGTATTGATTAGACATGTATATTTGTATTTAAATTATGTGTTTGTATGTAACTGTATATGGTTGGGTTTTTTTTCCCTATAAATAAATGGACTGATTCATTATCATTACAGTATAAAAATCAATAGTCAAATTTTACAACGGTCAGTTTTCACTCAGCGCCTGATTGAAAACTGACTGCATTGCATCATGCATGAAACTCTAAGTTGTGCATCCAGTGAGGAAAAAAAATGTATATTTATTATTTGTGTGTGTATGCATGTATATATGCAGCAAATGCCCTTTTATGCATGTCTGATTGAATAAGTTACAAACATTATAATTGGAATCAAAGGGCGTAATAGGGCCAAAAGTATAAAACGCCTAATAGAAGTAACAGAAAATAGTTCTATGTGGATATGGAAAAAACGAAATACTCCGTGGAGTGTTTCAGCGAACATGACGGCATGACATGACTGATCGTGAATGTGTAATGATGTTCGCGTTGCATTCTCAGAACGTGAGGTTTGCCGTATTTCGGAATTTTCGTAAATTTAATTTCACCATTACACATTTGAACTAGTTTATCTACGACACTTGTATATCGTTATAATGGGGCATCACATCAGTGAGGGGGGGGGCGGTGTGCAACTGAAACCGTTGAGAGGAAGGCCCCCGAAACGGTGCACATTCTCTCCTGATGACCCCAGTTTAAAATTCGAGAGGAACGCATCAAATTCAGTGAAGTCATATGCCGTAGTGAAGCTCAGTGGAAGTGTCATTGGCATGAGGAGCATTACACATTCAGCTCGTTTCAGCTGAGTTTCAATTACTTTCCAGTAATTTCCTTCTTCAGCTATTTTCCCTGGTGTCCCGACAACATGAATTTAAGCATGCTACTAGATTGGCATCTAAGTTCCAATCTTTTTACTGTTGAAATAGTTAAATGTAACTAGTAACTTCAACAGTTTCTTTTCTTGTACTGAAAACCTACAATCTTCAAAAATTTAAATGGAACATCAATCACCATTTTCTATTTTCTTAAATCACGTTCATCATTTAACCTTTCCTAATCTGCCCCCTAATGAAGTCTTTTCTCTCACTTTCAATCTGTGTACTCCCCCTGCATCCTAGTGGCATTCCTGCCTTGCTTGGGGTGAAATGATTAAAAAATAAGTCATGGATCTCAGATCCAGGCTAATGTTGTTAAGTTAAAATTTATATTGATATATATATTATAAATTAAATGATTTAAAAAAAAAAAAAATTTTAAATTAGTTAATTTATAATATTTTTTAAATCAGTTAATTTATAATATTTATGCTCTGTAAATTTCCATTGAGCACTGTTTTGTAAAAATATCAATGCACATTAGTAGGATATAGAATCTGAACAAAAGTTTGAGAAATAAGAGTGGAAAAGGTTTTTTTTGATAATGTATTTCACCTTCATTTGGTAGGCGTTCTGACCTAAAGATGCCTACCTAAGTACCTAACAAAGGTAAAATGTGTTGTCACTAAATAAATATATATCTTGATACTTCTGTAATTTGCCTATTTTTTTTTTCCTGTTCTTTAAGGAACTTGACAAATGTTTCTGTGGGCTGTCTAATCTTCCTACTCATGGGCCTCTCCTGCTAGGCTGGGCAGCAGCTCGTTGTTACTACATGGATGGAGAAGATGAGCGCACAACTCGAAAGCTCGGCTCGCAGGCACTGCAACTTGATGCACTCAATTACATTTGCACTTTACTGAAGTCTCCTCATTTTTCAGGAAACAATGTAAGTATGTTAGTATTTGTAACTTAGGTTTTGCACAAGACCACAACTAATGGGTACTCAGTGAGGATCAACCTCACCACTAATAGTCTACAAAACAAGCAGGTTAACCATTACACAATGAAGTGACCAATAATAGAATTCTATTAAATTTATACATTTTTTTTTCTACAAAATCTTTATCTAAATGTCCATCATCATTATTGCATTATTAACATGTTACAAAATAAATAATATTGTGTTAGATTAATATTACAAACTGAATGATATTGTGTTACATTAATATGTTACAAACTGAATATTGTGTTACATTATTATGTTACAAACTGAATATTGTGTTACATTAATGTTACAAGCTGAATTATATTGAGTTGCATTGTTATAAACCAAGGTATATTGTGTGTTACATTAACATTTTACAAAGTAAATTCTATTAATTTCATGTCATATTAACATGTTACAGACTAAATTATGTTCATCTTGTGTATGAGTATAAATGACATCCAGCAGCAAGGCCTCTGATTGGGAGATTGGAGCTTTTGAGGAGCATGAAACCACCTCTTAACTGCTGTCATTCCCAGGTTCACCTCAATCTGAGGTGATAGCCCCTGTTAGGGTCCAAGCTTTGGGCAAAGAGTGAATCAACAGTACATTTTTATAATGAGAGACAATACATTTTTATAGCAAAAGGACAATGCAATACTAAAAAAATATAAAAAATACATTTTTGTAGTAAAATTACTAATAATACATTTTATGATCTGAAAACTATATATATATATATATATATATATATATATAATAGTTTCCTCTTTAAGTATAAAATTAAGTACAAAATATCTGTAGTTGAAAGCATAAAATTGCTTACAAAATATTTAGATGCCAGTATTAAATAACCCATAGAGGTGTTGATATGCCACTAAACAATATTAACCAACCAACTAAATTATATTAATTGCATGTTACATAAATGTGTTACAAACAAAAAGAAGTTAATTACATAACATCCCCTTTTTTAAAATATGCACTATATCTTCATTTTATCTTCTGCACACTGCTGGGATTATTAACCTGTTTTCTAGAAATACTATTTAATTCTTGGATTATCTCCAGTGTCTTATTCTTGCCTTATACTTGTCAAGGAAAAGAAAAAAGTATAAATATTTACATTGGTATTTTTCTATCTGTAACTAAATTTTATTTCCCATCATATTAGGCTGAGGCATAAATATATAACACTTTTTAACCAACTATTTTTCATTCATCTAAATTCATCATACTTGGCTAGTGGATTAAACCATTTTATAATGAATTTGGTAACATAGTAAGTGTATGTTTAATCCCAGGACCAGGTAGTGCAAGCTTAGTCTCAATGGAAACAGAACGAGCAATAACCGAGCAGTACAAAATAAAAACAAGACTATATCCTTAGCCATAGGCAGTGGAATGAGAATAATCTTGATTATTATTTAGTTGTGTTAGCTCTGACATTCATGAATCTATTACATCAACCATCACGGTCCTGCGTCAAGGTTGGAATGCCATTAGGGGTCATTCTGTGACATAACATAACTGGTCAATGGAGATGATTTCTAGGTGACCAACCCGTCTTGCATCATGGCTAGGTTTCCAGAACAGTAGATCACTCACAAGTTCTTGTTTTACTTGCCAGCAGTGTCCTGAAAAGTGCATTCTGCATTTGCATAAGATTATAGAAATATCAGCTGTTATAGCTCTCAAAAAAATTCCTGTCCTTTGTGGTGCTGTTGAGAAGTGCCTTAAAACTATAATACAGTTTGGCGTCCTGGGTAAGATGTTAAACTACGTCCAGCAGCAAGGCCTCTGATCAGGAGGTTTTGAGGAGTGTGGGACCACCTCTTAATTGCTGATGTTCCCAGGTCCACCCTGATCCGAGGTAGTAGCACCTGTTAGGGTCCCAGCTATGGGCAAATAGTTAAATATTACCAGCAATACTTTTTGAAAAAAATTATTACCAGCAATACAATTTTGAAGGAAATATATTACCAGAAACAGATTTTTGACAAAACAAATATTACCAGTAATAAAAATTTTTGTCAGCATTAAATAACCCATTGAGGTTGATATGCCATAAAACAAAATAAACCAAACCAATCTAAACCAAAGAATACATATTCTATTCAGAAGCACCTATCCAAAAAATCTTGTCGGCATTAAATAACCCATTGAGGTTGATATGTCATAAAACAAAATAAACCAGACCTGATCTACAAACTGATTTCTTACAAAGAATACATATTCTATTCATACGAATCTATCCTAAAAATCTTGACGGCATTAAATAACCCATTGAAATTGATATGCCGTAAAACAAAATAAACCAAACAGTTTGACCCTCTCTTTGTGAGTGAAATTGGTAGATAAAACTGGAATTCATTAATGTTTGTGGGAGCATAAAGTCATGAGTTCTCACCTCAAAGATGGATATGCAGTGGCTGTAATGGATAGCAGCTCAGAAAGAAAAATTGGAGAGCTGAATTCAAATTCTAGTCAAGTTTGTTACGTTCACTTACACGGAAACAGCACCTCCTCTCCCAAGTTATGGGTTAAAAGCTAGGACTTGTATTTGGAAAAATCATTGTCATTCTCAAAATAATTGTTAAAGCAATATTCACTTGCAAAAAAAAAAATTAGTCTTATAATCCAAAATATGTTTCGGCTTTAAATAGGTATTACTTGACTCCCACAAGGTCAAGATGTGACACAAGGTCGATTAACGTGGGAAACCCGAGTGTTTCCACTCAAAGGCCACTGGTCAAAATTGGTCAAAGCATGTCCAAGCTGGTCAGAGCTTAGTCAAAGCTGGTCATGACTTGTCCTAGCAAGTCCAGGCCGGAGCCAGTCCAAGCTAGTCGAAGCCTTGATCGAATCTCAGCCTAAGGCCAAGAAACGATCCAATATTTGTCAAAACCCCCAGCATAATGCCAGGTAAGTATTCGGCTTTAAATAACCTACAAAGGGTTGATAAGCCACAAAAAAAAATCACTAATGGTTACATAGAAGCTCTTTAGCTTTTCTTGAGATGGTGTTGCAATAATAAAAAACATCTTGCAGCAAACTGGCCATTTATGGGGATGTATTGACTTACAAAATTCAAAATTGTTGAAATTCTTCAAGAAACGTCAAATGTGTTTGTAAACTGCTGCAGACAGATATAAACAGCATAACATTATACAGGGTCTCCAATAAAAAACAGAAAATTTATTATCACTGTTTTATCTTTCAGAAATAATTGATCTTAAATAACCTTGAATAAATTTCTTGAATATTTATGACCTTGAATAATCATTCGTCTGTCGCGTAATTAAACTCTGATTGGTTCTTTTATGATTGATTAATTGCTGCTTGATCTTGTGACTCATCATTTAAAGGTTATTTGTAGTCAACTTTTGTCTTTCATTCTGCCCTTCTTGTATGGCTAAACAACTTACTGATTTTGAGCATCAAGTTATCGTACTTTTCAAAGATGAACATCCAATGTGGGGATTGAAAAAAAGCGCAGAAATTCTTCATGAATTTTTCAGTCACATCAATCAATCATCACCACTTTACAATTGGTTGTCTCATGTCTTTTTGAATTTACTGCTTTTTTACTGGGCACCCTGTAGAATAGAAATCTTACAATGTCCATTTAAGTTGTCTTAAAAAGTTTGGTTTAAAAGGAACAACCTGTTCAATAAAAGATATTTTTAAATATAAATAAAATTTTTCTATAAAGATCCAGAAATTAATCAAGTCCAGCTATGCTGTTGTTGGTAAATTTATAATGTTTATTTCACATGCACTAAGATCAAGAAACAATTTCACTTTCATCAGAATTTCATCAGAATTTCAAAAAGTCTTGACTAAAATGACTTTTTTTTTTTTTTTTTTGTAAAGGCTTAAAAAATATTAAAAACCATTTGGGGAACAAAGATACAGGGTGTGACAGAAATACCTCCCATACCTTTGACCTTTACCACGTAACAAGTAATGAGCACTTTGTGCTGTGTGTATTGCAATTACAGATTCACCAGTCTTAAAAAAAAAAGACGTTTCAACAGCAAACGTATGGTGTGCATCAGTCCAAGCCATGATGATAACTGATAACTGGTGCTACCTAAAAAAAAAAAAAAAAAAAGATTGTACTATATTAGCTAGATGGAGATACCATTACAACTTAACTAAGTTCACTATCACAGATTAAAATGTGGAAGGTATTTCTACCGCACCCTGTATAAACAAAATTATGGATATTGTTGAATCAAGCATTCACTGATTACTCGAACTCAAATTCATTTATTTCAGGTTGTTTCTTCTGTGGCTTACTGCACTGTTTACACCCTCGTCTGTGCTCTGCTTGATCAGTTCCAAGAAGACACTATTGGTGGTGTTAAGGTAAGTTCAATTTTATTTTGACATCAATATTGCCTGTTGGAAAATCTGTAAATCTGTTGTCCATTTGCAAAGTGATCACTTCAAGCTTTGGATGATTATGAGCTCTTGAGAGTTTAATATTCAAATCTCAAGAGGCATGTGCCTCTTATTAAGCAGAAGCGGCAAATATTTCAGGTCTGAGAGAAGAAAAGAATAATATTGTTATAGGAATATTCATTGTTAAAATATCAGTTTAAATGTTTAATATGAATCTGTCTTCGTCTGATGTTCTGATTTGTTTTGTTTTTCCAGGTCTTGTGTTCTGCCATATCTCAGCTTCTAAGTAAGCCATCAATAGCTAATGACATGTGGACACAGGTACAGTTTTTTTTTTCTCTTTTTTTCTTTCTTCTCTTTATTTTATCTTTCCATCTCTCTCTCTGATTCTTTCTCTTTCTTTCTCTGTTTCCTTTTTCTCCTTTTCTTTTTCATATGTACTAATGGATTCAATCAATTTTGTAGACACTCAACATATTTTAAAATATATTTCTTATCCTCTCATCGAAAATTGACAACAAAAAAAGAACATTTTCTCTCTGATTTTCTGGGATAAGTAATCATTATTTAAACTATTTATTTGCTGACTGTTGTCCTCATTTTTGTTGTTATCGAGTTTCATCTGTTGTGCCCTCCAGATTTTACTGGGTGTATGTCGATCTGGGTAACCTGCAGGAAATTCCAAACTAAGCCCTTTATTTAATCTATGGAGATAGACTGTTCTCATTCCACTTCCCATGTGTTTGTTGTAATGATTTGTTCCCAGTGTTGACAAGATACCATTTCTTTCCATTTAATACACCATAAAAGTCAAGAGCAGAAGAAATGTTGACTAATGTATTTCCTGCTAGTATTTGTATATATATGTAGGGAGGTATGGTGGAGTAATGAATAGCGGCTCAGATTGAAGAATCGGAGATCTGAGTTGGAATTCTACTCAGATCTATTACATTCACTTACGTGCTGATACCCTTGGGAAAGGTATGAATCATCTTCTTCTTCCCCCAGCTGTGAGTAAATAGCAGGGCAGACTGGGTTCTATAGCCTTGAGTGGCAACTGTCAAGCTATCTTGCCCAAGCAACACCACTTCTACTGCGGCTGCAGCACACATGGTACCCCTATGACTCTTCTGGTCACAGGATAAAAAAAAATGATTTGTATATATGTTGCTATATACTTGTATAAAACTTTTGTTCCACTGCCAATGTCTAGGGATTTCTAGTTTTTATTTTTTAGTATAGCTCAGTTATTTTCCTTGCCCTGTTTCCACTAAGTCCAAGTACACACTGTACAGCCCAGGAATTGAATTCATAATTGCTATGCTACCAAATTCACAAACCAATGCTTTAATCCACCTGACCTGGAGTGGTAGCACCTGTTAGGGTCCCAACAATGGGCAGATAGTGAACCCCCAAACTGGGGTCAAAACACTATGAAAGTATAAAAATAGATTTTTATAGTAAAAATACCACAATACATATGACTTTTGACAAAAACCCTCTTTACAAAAATATGTCAATGAAACCTAATCTACAAACTGATTCCTTACAAAGAATACATATTCTATTTATATGAATCTATCCTGAAAATTTTGTCAGCATTAAATAAACCATTGCAGTATTTATATACTGTAAAATAAACGTAAACCTCTTGTCCCATAGATGACACAATAGTGTAAATAAAAAAAAGGACATTGATTAACTGGTCCATGGCAAGGGACTGGTGAGCAACACTTTGGTCGTGGGCAGAGTTGAAGGATTCAAAGTATACTTATGTTGGGAAAATTTACAAATGGAATATTTAATTACTATTCCATTTGTAAATTTTCCCATCATTTTTTATGGATAGTCTGCTACTTTATCAACAGGAATAATTTAATGGACATTTACTTTTTGTTAATGTGTAGAAATTAGAACTGATTAGTTCAGTGTTTCATTACCAAACTGGTTTTCATGATAGAATGATTTTGTTATTGTCTTGACCATTCCACATAATGAATCATCCTTTATCATAATGAGGAGGGAAATCTGTTTTGAATGAATTCATCTAGTCATATTTCTTGTGGTCATTTACAGTATAAATGTGTTCTTGGCTCATATTTTCTCAGGTTTCTTATTTTAAATGGATGTTTACTCTGCCTTTAGGGTCTTTATTTGAAGATTAATTTTTTTTTTTTTTTGCACCTTATCAGAGGAAATGATTTTACTATAGGAATGCATTAGAAATGATTTGAATACTAGCTCTTTATGGAACCTGGAAAATTATGGCTAGGATTTATGAAACAAATCCATCCATACTTTCATTCCCTCTAATGATTCCATATCTAGTGATATAGCAAATACTAAAAGCATTTATAGAAATTCATTGGAAATGATTTTACTATAGGAATGCATTAGAAATGATTTGAATACTAGCTCTTTATGGAACCTGGAATATTATGGCTAGGATTTATGAAACATATCCATCCAAACTTTCATTCCCTCTAATGATTCCATATCTAGTGATATAGCAAATACTAAAAGGCATTTATAGAAATTCATTGGAAATGATTTTACTATAGGAATGCATTAGAAATGATTTGAATACTAGCTCTTTATGGAACCTGAATATTATGGCTAGGATTTATGAAACAAATCCATCCAAACTTTCATTCCCTCTAATGATTCCATATCTAGTGATATAGCAAATACTAAAAGCATTTATAGAAATTCATTGGAAATGATTTTACTATAGGAATGCATTAGAAATGATTTGAATACTAGCTCTTTATGGAACCTGGAATATTATGGCTAGGATTTATGAAACAAATCCATCCAAACTTTCATTCCCTCTAATGATTCCATATCTAGTGATATAGCAAATACTAAAAGCATTTATAGAAATTCATTGGAAATGATTTTACTATAGGAATGCATTAGAAATGATTTGAATACTAGCTCTTTATGGAACCTGGAATATTATGGCTAGGATTCATGAAACAAATCCATCCAAACTTTCATTCCCTCTAATGATTCCATATCTAGTGATATAGTAAATACTAAAAGCATCTATAGAAATTCATTGCAAATGATTTTACTATAGGAATGCATTAGAAATGATTTGAATACTAGCTCTTTATGGAACCTGGAATATTATGGCTAGGATTTATGAAACAAATCCATCCAAATTTTCATTCCATCTAGTGATATAGCAAATACTAAAAGCATTTATAGAAATTCATTGGAAGATTGGAATGGTGTTTGAAGATTTGAACCTGTAAGTATTCAACCAAACCTCCACTAATGATTCCAAAAATAGAAATTCTTTTTATGAAATTTTTCCAATGTCTTACTATAGAATGCATTAAAATGATTTGAATACTAGCTTTTATCACCTGAATAAAGATCAATTCCAAATCCATCAAATTCTCCCCATTGATTCAATCTGATATAGTACAAAAGCTTTATAGCTGCTTGCAATGACCATAGAATGCATTAGAAATGTTTGAATACTGTAAAATTTGGCTGCTTATGGAAGTTCAATTGTTAAGTGTTTAAGAACTAATTATGCTAATGATTTTACTATAGGAATGCATTAGAAATGATTTGAAATTTGGAAGGAAATGGAATGTCAGGCTGGTCAGGAATGAATCCAAGCATTACTGATAGAATAGGGCTATTATATTTATAATGGAAATGCATTGCATTAGAAATGATTTGAATACTAGAATGCATTGAAAAAATCCATCCAAACTTTCATTGTCAGTGGTCATATCTAGGGATCAATGGCAGAAATTATTGAAAGAATAGTGCATTATTATATGTATAATGGAAATGCATTGCTAATGATTTTACTATAGGGATGCATTTCAAAATGAGAAAAAAAAGGGATTTCCAGGTGGTGACGAAGGAATGAATGCAAGCATTACTGATTCAACTGAATAGTGCTGCAGGACCACAGAGTTTTTATATTTGTATAATGGAAATGCATTGCTAATGATTTTACTATAGGGATGCATTGAAAATGAGAAAGAAAGGTATTGTCAGTGGTCAGGAATGAATGCAAGCATTACTGATAGAATAGGGCTATTATATGTATAATGTAAATGCATTGCTAATGATTTTACTATAGGAATGCATTGAAAATGAGAAAGAAAGGGATTGTCAGTGGTCAGGAATTAATGCAAGCATTACTGATAGAATATGGCTATTATATGTACAGTGTGCACTGGATAAATTGTCGCTATTTCTATTTTAATTTCGTGCATGCGTGTTGTTTGTTTTTGATTTTGTCAACTGCACTGTATAGTAGAAATTTGGAAATCGCATACTGTACAACTTGGCAATCATGCTGGAAGCTCCAATACGAACATATCAGAATGTTTGGATATGAATCTGAGGACAGTTCAAAAGATTCTGAAAGAGTTGGATGACATATCCAGTCAACATCATGGTGTTTGGATTAATTACTCATGATGGCGATGTTATTCCTCCATTTATCATCCCATAGAGCTTCAGACTGAACACAGAGGCCTACATCATGTGCCTTGAGGAGATAGTGCTAACTTGGATCAAGAGGGTGGCTGCTGACAGACTCTGCAGGAGAACTCAGCCATGGCTGTCAGACAATTTCTGCAACCACATCACCCTTTATTTCTGGACATCTAACTCCCCAAACTACAATTCCTTTGATTATTATGTGTGGGGTGCAGTTGAACGAGAGACCAAAAAAACTCCTTGTAACACCAAAGATTGTTTGAAGGCAAGGATTATAGCAGCATTCACCAACTTAAACAAGGGGACCGTCCAGAAGAGTTGCAGGAGATTCCGAAGTCATCTGGAGTCCATGGTTGAAGCCAATGACGATTTTATTGGAATAAATTTACTCTTTAGTATTCCAAGATATTCTTGTATAATTTAGATGACAATTTATCCATTACTCCCTGTATAATGTAAATGCCTTATTAATAATTTTACTATAGGAATGCACTTGAAATAAAAAAGAAACAGATTACTGAGAAAATAGGTTTTATTTTTGTCTTATTAGCATTGCATCATTGGTAGTAGTAGTAGTCATATTTAATCACATTAATATGCTATATGGGTACATGGCCGAGTGGTTAGAACATTTGCTTTCTAACCATGAGACCCAGGTTCAAATCTCACCATGGTTGATTTGTCAGGAAGAAGACTTTTTGTCTGGAGGGGGATGTTCCCAGTGTGCGGAACTTTTGAAAAGTGCCTGAAAATCATAACATTGGTTGACTCTAGCCTTGTGAGTGAAATTAGATAGACAGGACCCTTGGGGGCTGTCGATGTCTATGCTAGCACGAAGTCATAAGTAGTCATGAACAAAGGTTTGAGCATGCTGGTCTTGTTCAGACTGTTGATCACGCTACATAACACAC